TGGCCGGGCGCTGGAGGCTTACGCCTGTAATCCTAGCTACTTGGGAGGCTAACGTTAGGAGGATCAAGGTTCAAGGCCAGCCGGAGCAAACAGTTCTTGAGACCCTATCTCCAAAATAAGCAAAGCCACACTAGAGGTGTGGCTCAAGTTGTACAGCACTTGCTTTGACCCTGAGTTCATAACCCCAGTCCCACCAAAATAAATAAATGAAAAGAAATACAAACATGATTACTTTGTCCCCTGGTTAGAACTCTTCCAAGTGTACCAGAAAAAAGTCCTCCTCCATTTCTGCCTACCTCTCCAACATTACCTGTTGGCTCACTACCAGCCCTCTTCTACCTGCACCCTCTAGCTGGTGCTGCCATGTTACTCACAGTTTCTCTAAATGTCAGGCAAAACAGTCTCCTGCCAGTCCCTTCCGTGCTCTACAAAGAACTGCCTATCTGGGGAGCATACTTTGATCATCCTTAAATCGGCTGTGGCATGGCCTCTCCCTGACCTTTCCCAATTCTTCAGCTTTTCCCTGCAGAGTTGAGTCATTCATGCCCTCTGCATGCCCCCACTGACTCTCTGTAGGCTTGCCCCATAACATCTATAACTCATCATTGCCCTTCTCTTTAATGCTTGTCTCATCTATTAGACTGAAAGTTTCATGAGAACCAGGACCAAGTCTTATCCATATGTGTAGGCTGTGCACGGCACACTGTAGGTGCTCAATAAGTGCTTGTGGAATGGATGAATGGTGATGAGTTATTACTACTTGGGATTAGTGACTCCACTGCTCACCAAGGTAAACTGTACTGAGTCCCCTCAATGGTGGTATCTTGGTACCTTGTGACCAAGATGGCAGCTATAACACCAGGTGATCTAGTCATTGGGGAAAAGTGACTCCTGGTAGCTCCAACGATTTGCATGACAAAGGGACAAAGGTGCGGGGGGGGGGGGGGGGCATGCCAAGAAGTTCACAGGCTGTAGCTGGGTGCTGGTGGCACATTCCTGTAATCCTGGCTACTCAGGAGGCAGAAATCAGGAGGATTGTGGTTCAGAGTCAGCCTGGGCAAATAGTTAGGGAGACCCTGTCTTGAAAATATCTGACACAAAATAGGGCTGACAGAGTGGTTCAAGTGGCAAAGTGTCTGCCTAGCAAGCTTGAGGCCACGAGTTCAAATCCCTGTACCACCAAAAAAAAAAAAAAAAAAAAGAAAGGAGTTAATAAATTTCAATATGGACCTGGCCTAAAGATTAAGGAGACTTATGATAATGACTCTTGGAGCCAGGTGCTGCGGGCGCTGGTGGCTCAGGCCTGTAATTCTAGCTACTCAGGAGGCAGAGATCAAGAGGATAAACGTTTGAAGCCAGCCCAGGCAAATAGTTAGAGAGACCCTATCTTGAAACAACTTGTCACAAAAAAAGGGCTGGTAGAGTGACTCAAGGTGTAGGCCCTGAGTTCAAACTGCAGTACAGCAAAAAAAAAAAAAAAAGACAAACAACAAAAAAAAACCCCTCTTGGGTAGGAGGAAGGGAGTATTATTTAGAAAAAAAAGCTAGGGAAAGGGTTTTGAATGTTTCACTATAAAGCAATGACAAATATTTGACAAGATAGATATGCTTACCCTGATTTGAGCATTACACAATGTATATATGTATGGAAACACATATACCACAAAATATGGACAATTTTTATGTGTCAATTAAGAAAAAGAAAAGACACTTGGCTAAGGGATGGTGAGGATGGCTAGAAGGAGGCATTCTTGGGCCAGGGTATGGGAGGGAGCAAAAGAACACAAGTCTGAATCAGACAGTCTTTCTCCATGCAGCTCCCGACCAAAAAGAGAGGTAGAAGCATCACCTAGGAAAGCTCTCACTTGAGAAACCCCAAACTCTCATGATAGGGTGTGAGTAATGCGGCCAGGGTATGGGAGGGACAAAAGAACACAAGTCTGAATCAGACAGTCTTTCTCCATGCAGCTCCCGACCAAAAAGAGAGGTAGAAGCATCACCTAGGAAAGCTCTCACTTGAGAAACCCCAAACTCTCATGATAGGGTGTGAGTAATGCAATTACCCTCCTCCCCTTTCCCAGCACATCCGATTTCCCACCTTCAGCTGGGTCCTGAAGATGAGTCCCTATAAAAGCATCAGATGCTGTGGTTTTGAAAAAAGTGCAGGACCAGTGGGACAGCCCACTGTGGCTTTAACAACTAATTACCTCCTGCAAGCTTGGACAAGTTGATTACCTTTTCTAAGTCTCAGCCACCTCATCTGTAAATTGGGCACATTCTGACATGCCTCAACCACTTCATAGGATTGTGGCAGGGGCCAAGTTGTACTAATAATAACAGCTATTCTTTTTGTACTGCTTCCTACGTATCAGAGAGCATGCTAAGTGCTTTACATTCCCTAACCAAGTCTCACAGCATCTCTATGAGGTAGAACTATAATAAGCTCTATTTTACAAATGAGTAAATTGAAGTTGAGGGAGGTAAAACATCTGATCTGAAGTTAAATGCTATCAAGCAAGCAGATAGAGAAGGGGTTTGGTCTGTGGACCCTGCATTCTCAGTCCTCTGCTCTGTATATTTAGGTAGGTGGCTGACCTTACTGTCTACAAGTAGAGTAACCACAGGTTCCTTTTAGGGCCCCTGGTCCTACAGACATAGTGGCAGCACTTAGCAAGGCATGAGGAAGGTTAGCTCCTTCCCACTTGGCCTCAGAGATGGGGTTCTGAGGGGTCAGCTTTCCCTTCCCAATAGCAGGGCTTGGTGACTGCACAGGGTTGACTAGTGTCCCCCCAAAATCTGTGAATGTGATCTTACTTGCAAACAGGATCTTTGCAGATATAATCAAGTTAGGGTTATCTGAATTTATCCTGGATCAGGGTGGGCCCTAAACCAATGACTGGTGTCCTTATAAGAAGAGAGAAATTTGTATGCAGAGATACAGACATGGAGGAAAGACTGCCATGCAAAGATGGAGGCAGACATTGGAGTTATGCTCAAAAGAGCGCCAAGGATTCTGAGAACCACCAGAAACTGGAAGAGACAAGGATTCTTCCCTAGAGACCAGAGACAGCATGGCTCTGCCAGTGCCAAGGTTTCAGATTTCCAGTCCTCAGAATGTTGAGAGAATAAATTTCTCCCTCTCTCTGTCTTTTTTTTTTTTTTCATTTTGGTGGGACTGGGGTTTGAACTCAGGGCTTCCAGCACTCTACTGCTTGAGTCACACCTCCAATTCTTTTTGCTCTGGTTATTTTGGAGATGGGGTCTCATGAATGATTTGCTTCAGCTGGCCTCAAACCTCCACCCTCCCGATCTCAGCCTCCCAAGTAGCTAGGATTATAGCAGTGAGCCATAGGTGCCTGGCTAAATTTCTGTTTTTTAAAGCTAACCAGTTCATGGCACTTTGGCACAGTAGTCCTGGTGTCATGTCCACCACAGTTGGACGACCTAAAGGTAGATAGAAAGTTTGAGAGACCAGTTAGATATATTTGTAGGGAGGGGCTACTTCTTGGGGGCAGGTGAGGGAGAGAAGAATAAAAAAGTGTTTACTCATCCAGGTATACAAACCAACTTGTAGACTATGCCTCAGCATGACTCTGTACATGTGTGTTTTGCATCTGCAGTCTTGTTTTTTTCTGGAGTTTGTGTTGATGACAACTTATATGGAGAGGGTTTTATTTGAGAAACTTTTTCTTCCCACCCCTTGGCCATCCCTTCTTTTCCCAGAGCTCACATGATGAAACTGTGCCTTAGAGAGGTTCAAACCCTGCCCAAGTTGTTCACAGCCAATTAGGAAGAGAAGCAGAATTCAGATCCAGAGCTCTCTGGCTCCAAAAACCCTGCTTTTTAATAATTTCGAACTAAAGAAAGCGAACTTTTCAAAAAGATATAGGGTGATTCCCTTTACCTTTTATAAGTATTTCTTTTCTAAATTTCAGGGTAATGTTTATCTGAAAAAATATTTAGAAATTATTGAAATGTATAAAGAAAAAGTAAAAAATGATTCCTGGCAATAACTACTGATAATATTGAGTAATATCCTTCCTTTCTCTTTTCCATACTAATATTGAGTAGCGACAAAATTTGAATAATACTGTGAATAGTATTGTATCTTGCTCTTTCACTTAGCGTTATCTCATGAGCTTTTTCTTATGTCACTAGTTTTTGTAAACACGATTTTTAATTACTAATGTTCCCTCCTATGGATAAGCCATAATTTATCTAAGCTTCTATTATTGCCTTCTTAGTTTCCAGCTTTCTCCAATGATAAATAAGCAAGTTAACGTTCTGCGTAAATATTTATCCTCATTGTTTCCTGAAGACAGACAGGGCATAATACCAGGGTAAATGGGATGAATATTTAAAGGCATTTGATACATAATGTCACATTGTTTACCAAAAGGGTTCTACCTGCCCAGAAGCACCCTCACTGAGACCGTCAGCATTAATGAGACCAGCTTTATTTTGAAAAGAAGCATGCCATGATTCGATCACACAGGTTGCTGTGTGTCCAGAGGAACCCACAGGGATAACAGTCAGGAGACTGTGTCGACGATCCCAGTGGGACCTGACGGGGCTTGAGGTTAGGCTGCAGGGATAGAGGACCGCAAGACGCACGGGATTCTTGCAGCTCGGATGGGGCGGGGGCCGGCGCTGATAAGGTTATTCTGCTCGGCGCAGAGAGCTGGAGAGGGAGGGGGCGGCGCGCCCGCTCTAGCCTCCTGCGCGCCTGCCTGGCTCAGCACGGATCCGCGAGGTTGGCAGAGGCCCGAACCCCTCCCACCCCTTTAACAAGGACACTCCCCTTTAAGGCGGGCGCCCGCGCGCACCCGGCCCCGCCCTTCGGGGGCGCGCGCGGCGGCCGCGGCGCCGGCTCCCGGAGCGCACGTGCCGGCGCCGGGCGAGGAGCGGGGCGGGAGCGGGCCGCGGGAGGAGGGGAGGCGCCGGGGGCGCGCGCGCGCGCTGGGCGCTGCTGGGCTGCGGCGGCGGTGGCGGCGGCGGTTACTATGGCGGAGTCGGCCGGAGCCTCCTCTTTTTTCCCCCTTGTTGTCCTCCTGCTCGCCGGCAGCGGCGGGTCCGGGCCCCGGGGAATCCAGGGTGAGTCCCGGGGCGGGAGGGCGGGAGCCGGGATGGAGAGGGCCGGACGAGGGCGAGGCCGCGAGCCGCGGCCCCTGGGCTACCGCGCGCCCCCTCCCCACGCGCACAATATGGCCGGGCGGGGGTCGCGGAGGAGTCGGGGTGACCCTTACTCAGCTTTCCCGACCTCCGAGGCTGGGCTGCCCAAGCAGCCACCGAGTTCATGCCGAGCCCCTAGGGACCCGAACCCTCTTCCAGGAGGAACTGGATTCGGGGGGCTCCTAGGGTCGCGCCCCCAGCACTCCCATGTTCCATAGAGGGGAATCCGGTATTCCTCCTAAAGATTTGGTGGTCCCTGGTTTGTGCCCTTCAGTAGGTCCAAGGGCCGGGGGCTCTGTTCCCCTCTCACCAGATGCTCCTGGGGGCGCCTTTTCTCCCGCCAAGATTGTGGGGTTCGGCGATGGGGGTCTTGTTTCTCTGAGGTATTCCGATTTTCAGAGCCCTTGTACACCCTAGGCTGTAGGGAAAGGGGTCTCTAACCTTTCCTTCAGCTCCTGCACTTGGGGCGTCTCTGCCCTCCCTGCCCTGCCTCTCTGATGTTCTGGGCACCGGAGTCACATTTCTCTATCACTCAGTCCCTTGCGTTCCGAGGGGCAAACTCCCCACCTCCAGTACACATGCCTGTGGAGGAAGTGGGGAAATAGGCCCCTAAACCTGCTTGGAGCTTGGCTTTGGAATCTCTCTAACCCTAGGAAACCTAGGTCCCCAGCGGTTGATCTGAATCTAGGTGTATTTGCTTTCCTCCTTGCCTAGCCTACCGCACCCCAGGGGGCCCATTCATTTAATCACTTTGTGGATGCCTTTCTGGAGAAATCCTAGAACCTGCCTCCAACCCCCAGGATTATTTAAAGATCCCACCACTGGATCGTCTCCCTGGCTCTTGGTCAGTACTTATTTACCTTCGCACACAATCCCTCTTCCCAGACTTCTTCCAGCCTCACACATCCCTTACCTTCCAGCCCTCACGGCTTTCTGCTCCCCGGAGCCACCCCTCCCCTTCCCACTACAGAGGTGGGGACTTTTCTGTGGGACACTCTGGGTGTGTTGTTTATGAGACTTTGGGGGCTGAGAAGAGCAAATGAAACCCTAAAATATTTCATTTGAGAGTCGTCTCAAATGTGTTTTGGCATTGGAATTGCAGATGAAGGTTATATTTGGCAGTTACATTGAAGTGATTATTGACCCACAGATGGATCTGGGAGAGATGATCTGGATTGTATTTGCTCATGTTGTACAAAGCCTGCTGCTTTGACTTCTCAGCAGCACCTAACCTTCCAGCAATGGGTGATCAATTGTGTGTCTGGGACTTTCTTCTCCACTAAAAATGATTCTCAGGTGGGTCCTGGTTTAATAAGTCAGACCATCAAGAAAAGACACTATACCACTTTGGAGTCTCAAAAATCAAGTTCATTATCTTCTACTTGGATGTTTATTCCCAGTGGTGTTGCCCGTGCAGTGGGGTCTTTGTTCACTGGCTACTGCTTCTGTTAGGCTCCTCATGTGTTCCTTCTGTGGCTGCTCTGTGTCATAGGTAACTGTGCAGTGGGGTCTGATAAACATAATGAAGGTGTATGAACAGAGCCTGACATTTGTGGCACGATAATGATTTTTGTAAGTAAGGGTATTTACTGGGCCTTATTATGGGCTATGTTTTTGGAATGTGTAACAATGTATTTTTCTAGTAGGGTCATTTTATGTGTGTCTGAATAAAATCTTTAAATCCCTCCAATAGGAATTCTTATCCTGTCCTAATGTAGCCAAGGTTTTAAACAATCCTTTCCCTGCTGATTTGGTGTAGTGTCTGTTGGGTTTTTCTTGTGAGCCTACTCATAACTGGTTCTGAATGGGGCAGAGTTCATTTTTTTGTAACCTTCCTAAAATGGATGTTTGTTGGAGTGAGGGTGGGTGGGCAAGATAGGGAGTTGTTTTCTTTTTTTGGTCAATGGGAAATTAGGTTGTGTGTCCAGCAAACATTCTCAAAGGCCTTTAAACTTCTTGGCCAGACACTACAGTTTTTTCCGGGACACATCTAGTTGCCAATAGTGCATGCTGCGGAGACCACTGTTGCAAAAGGCTTAAAGCAAAACATCAGTTCTGGGAAAATAGAGGCTGTGGGATAACAAGAAGTTGATTTTTTTTTTCCCCCTCCCCTGCATTTCCTACATAATGCTCCCCTATGTGAACTGGAGAAGTGACAGTAAGGTAGCTCTGATGTCTAGTAGTTGGACATGATGTGAGGATAGTAAGAGATAGGTGCCTCTATTGATTAATGAATTAGCTGGGACTTAGTAAAAAGCCAGTGAGAAGGAGAGTGAATTTCAGGCTAGAAACAGCATCCATTTGGTAGGTGTGCCATGTTTTAAGACCTAGCTTAAGAATTTTCACATTATTTTTTAAAACTGGAAAATTATTTGAGTTAATAGTAGGAGAACATGACATTCATTTCTTAAAAGACAAAAGCCAACAAGAGGCATTTGAGGTTCTGATAAGAATATTTTGAGTTTCTGCAAACAGACTAAAAATCTCATTTCAAGCCAAGTCCTGCAATTTTGTTGAGTGGACATGGATTCTAAGTACAGTGGAAGTGAACGCCTGTAGAGGAAAAGAGAATCTTTGATTAGTTTTGTTTAAACAGCTTCTGAAACAGATGTGATAAAGCATGTTAAAATGGCTACTCTAGTTAAAGGTTAGAACCAGATGGAGGAGGGAGGCTGGTGTTCAGCCCCAGAACTTTGCTTCCTTATAGGTTGTCCTTGAATAGGCAGCTTAACCTCTCTGTTACTGCTTCAATTTTTCCTCTGAATAGTAAGAAAATATTCTGTGTCATTCTTATTGGGACATTTGTGAGACTGACTTACTGATAGCCAGTTGGCCAGAAGGTATTTTTAGACACTGTTTCTGACTTAAGTGAATAAGCAATGTTGGGTTACTTTTTATCTTATAGGGCAGAATAACATACGCTGTGATTGATAGACGCACCACATGTCAGTGTGGTTACTTTCTTATTTGTGCTTTTTAGTAGGCCCAGTTCATATTTCCTTAAGTTAATGTGTGTCTTTGGCAGGCTTTTTCTTCATAGACCAGGCAGCATACCTGTGCTAATCAAAGACAGTCTGGAGGGAGTGACCTGCTTTAGGCTTTATTGGTTGGCAACGTTACGCAACTCTGGGTATGTTTATGGCACTATGTAAACGTTACATAAGAATGTGGAGGCTGAGAGGTGGCCAGAATGGTGACTGTGAACACAGGAAGGTTAGACTGAGGACTCCATTCGAAAGGACCTTGGGAATCTGCAGTCAGTACAGGAAGAAGCTGCTCTTTATTTTCCTTTAAAAACCTTTTTAGATGATTGTGTCTTTCAGGGGGACTGCTGTGTTATAAATAGTTTATTCTCCACCGGTGAGCTAATTGTAACCTTGCTACCAAAATATGAATCAGTAAAGAGGCAAGGGGGGAGAAGAGGGGCCATGCTGCTTCTTTCAGCTTGTCCTGTTGAAGCTGCTTGTTGCATTTTGGAACATGAGTTGAATTGCGTTGCAGTCTGTTCTCATAATAACTCAGGAGTACAGGGTGTTAAGGTGGAATGGAATTCTCAGTTCACAGCACTTTAGAACCTCTTTATTTTTGAAGGTTAAATTAGAATACTGAAGGGACTGTTTCATTTTATTTTTGTGATCTTTATTGTTTTACTGCTTGTTTTTTTGCTTGGAGTAGCAATGAACATTAATTCTGGACCTCACCTCTCTGTTATTGAGTTCTCGTGTTGTCTGTTACAGTGGGAGTTGATGTAAGAAGGTCTTATCTCACTTTCTGTATTTACAAAAAGAAAATCTGAGAGTCCTCTCTGGTGCATAGCCTGTCAGTCCCAATTGGACTAGGAATGCTACAGCCATCTAAGTAATCAGCTCTCAGACTCCATGGTTTCTGGCAGTCTGAGTTGCATTTTGTTCATTTAGCCTATGCCAGGATTGAATACCTGCGCTTGTTTTTTGCTCTTGTCAGTCTTTCTATCCCATGCGTGGCTTTACCTAAGCTTGAACTTTAGGGGCACCATCTCTGCTCTTGTCTGTTCTGTCTGCCTTCTGGTTTCTCCATCATGGGGAAGTGGGCACCAAGCAAAAGTACTACTTCATGGTACCTTCCTTTCCCTTATTCTAGAACTGCCAGAGTTTGGTTTAGCTGTGAGTTTTCCATTCTAGGCAATCTTATCTCCTCTTTAGATTTCAGAGATAATACCACTTCAGGCAATGCTGGTTAGCTGTTTGATTTTCTTCTCTTACCACCCAGTCTTAAGCCTGCATTTGGCTTGCTAAATATTTTTTAATTTAACATAATGAGAGTAACTTTTAGGTATCAAATTGCTTCTAATATTTACATAGTTACATATAGGGGATTTCTTATTTCATTTGGTTGGGTATGTGCCTGGAATAGCTTTTAGCATGAGGAAATAACAGAATATGATGAACAGAAGTCCCTAAATCTCTACTATGTGGAAGCTGGAATTGCAGTGGCTTAGACTGAAAATAAAAAAGTAGCACAGTTATGTGCCACAGTGCTGTGATGAGAATAAAACAGGATGATGTGCGAGAGTGCACTAGCAGCTACCATTCTACCGCTTCATTGTTTCATCTGTAAAATGGGGCTAATAGCATCAAGTCTAGTTATTTGTGGTGGTTATGTTCTGTAATGTGACTGCTAACACTGAATTAGCCAATACTGAGCCATTGTTCTTAGGGGAAATAGGTAGGTTCTTGAGACCTCCGAGCACAACATTTCCATCAAGTGATCAATATACAATCTTGTTTTAATGTGTTTCTGTACAAAGGTACCCTATTTGATATATATGTTGATGCATTACATTGAACTCAAGAACAGCACTGTAACTCATGCTTGAACCAAGCTTCCTTAACACATACTTTCTCTGTATGACCCATCACTGATTTCTTAGGAAGTGTGCTTAA